TTAGAATTTAATCCAATTAAAATTTAATAAATCCTAAAATATCACAAAATTCACGTGATAAACCCGAATTATTAAAATCGGTTCCAACCTCTAGTTCGAGATTTTGTAATAAAAATTCGAAATTCAACAAAACTTAGTGATTCTTTAAAAAAAATTTACCAACAAGAAAATGTGGCTGAATTAAAACCCGATTTAGATGTAGAAACAAGGTGAAATAGCACCTATATAATGCTAAAAAAATTTCTTCAAATGCGAAACATGTTAGATATTCTTGTTGCTAAAAATAGAGATCTTTGTCCTTTATATTTACAGGATAGTGACTGGCTAGTAGTTAATATTATGATTCAATTACTTGAACCAATCTTCATAGCAACTGAAATCTTATCAATCTCAACATATCCTACTATAAGTGACATGAGACTAACTATAATTGGTTTGTTGCGACATTTGGATTTATTCATTCAAACTTATACTAACACTAATGTAGATGAGTGTATGGTAGCTAATTCAATTAGCTTTAAACTTCGAGAATATTGGAAACATATCAATGAATCAACAACAATTGGTACTTTACTAGATCCACAATCAAAAACTAAAACTTTTATAGATATGAATCAGCATGAAAATGCTATAACACTTTTGCATAACCGAATAGAATTATATAAGAACAATACTGATACACAATCTGTTCATAATTTACAGACAAAAAAAAATAAACGATCATTTTTTGAATCTTTAATTTCAGAACAAAATTCTGTACAAGCGCCTATTGAAGATGAAATTGTCTGATATCTTGCTTTATCAGTTGATTCTACTACAAATTCATTAGATTGGTGGCATCATTTTGGCGAAGATTTTCCAACTCTAGCAAAAATGGCATCATGTTATTTAAGCATACAGGGTTCAAGTGTACCTTCAGAACAGGCATTTTCTATAGCCGCAAATACAATAACCAAAATTTGATGTAATTTAAAACCAGATACTGCACGTGCAGCTATGTGTCTTAAAAGTTGGATTCAGCAAGTGCGTGATAAAAAAGAAAAAGAAATTGATATAGGAAAATTTTTCTTCTTGGAATTATAACTTTAAACTATTAAATTTTGTTTGAATTTTTTTTTTCTTTTGTGATAAAACTCTATTTTTAAGAAAAGAAAGTATTTTTTTTTAGGCCACACAAATTTAATTTATTGGTTCTCATAATATGAAGCCTTTAAAGAGCCTGACCAGTTAGCTTTTTTTTTAATTTTATATATAATTTATAAAATTTTTTTTTTACAAGCTCACCTGGTATTCAAATTTGACCTGGCCAGGTTACAGGAACTAATTAACTTTGCATGGCCTTATGTTAGTATATTTAGTGCACTCTATTTTTATTATCGTCAAATTGGAATTAGAAATAGGTCAAGAAATGTTTTAATTAATATTTGTTATATGCGATCCGATTTATGATTATGCACTAAATAACAATTTCTTTAGATTTTAAATATTTATTATCTCTTATCATATAAAAAAAAGATGAATATTATACAAACATGCAATATAGACATTTAGAATAGCACATATAAAAAATTAAATTGTGTAGATTATCTACAAAGTATATGTATAAAAAAGCCTTTATATTTACCACCCCCTTTACCTTTCGATATATACAATTGAATTATGTTTTATTTATCCTAATAATTCATATACTCAATTTACTATGTTCCTAATATACTTCATATACTTCATTTTCTTTACGCTTTCAAAAATATATTTATCTTTTTTATTGAATATATATTGCGTATTAAAAGCAAATTTTTGCATTATGCTCAAGTAAGAATAAACATATATCTTTGATGCATTATGCATTTTATATACAAAGATAATAGCAAGTTTGCATAACATTTAGACAATAAATTTTTAAATAATCCTTGTATATGATAAAGTTAAATTTATTTAATTGAACCAGAATAGTTCCTATTCCCAATAAATAAGTGAATATGTTTTGGTTTTAATAGGTAAGTAGGTTCATGATTTGTGATTTCAATAATGCGTAGGCATGTTTACGATAAACTCATAGTTTTATTATTTGATAGATTAGTTATTTTAAAAGTGACAGATTCATGACTTTGAAAATGGGTATGTTAGCAATTTTAACAGCATATGATTTAGATATTTGATAATTAGGTGAGTTCACAATTTCAATAGTGGATGGTCATTATTAATAGTAAGTAATTAATTATTTCAACAATAGAAAAAGGAAGCTGACAACAAACTATAAATTCTACAATTTTATCTGTAAGTTGTAAGTGTTGTTGATCTGTTTTTGAATATGGTTTACCTATAAATTTTTCAAGAGTGCTTTGTCGATTACCAACTAGATTACTATGTTTGTTATATAAATGTTTGCCAAGAGTTTCTGGTGTGTTGGTTGGCTTATACTTAAGGCAGCATATAGTACAAATAAGTGATTTAAGTTCATTTTTAGTATTATATTCTTTGGAAAAATGCTCCCAAACCCAAGAAGCCTCTCGTGAATTAAGTGAACCTGAGCTAAGTTCAGTTTTTTCACTGGTGTTTGTTAATTCATTAGTTTGTTCGGTTATTATACTTTCTGCTAAATCAAGATCATCAGTTTCAAAACTATTTTCAATTTGCAAATTCTCATATTGAATATCGGTTTCTGACATAATTGTTTTGATTTTTAAATATTTTATTAACGAGATAAAATTTGCAGTTATAAATGAATCAACTCTTTATTTATATCATTAAAGCAGTTTCAATAAAGAAAATTTAGAACATTATACAATTATAGCATTACTATATTGTTAGTTATACTACAGCCATTTGACTAAATCTCTAATACGTACATATTTGAGCATTAATATCAAACATCATAAAAACCTTATAGATAAAATTTTTTTACTTGATGTCGCTTAATTTCTTTATATATAATCTATCTCTATATTTGTGTTTATCAAGAGTCAAAACAGGAGTGCTGCAAGCAAAAACCTGTAGATAAATATTTAAATTTTCACAGAACTTAGAAAATCGTAGAATTATATGATAATTTTTCAAAAGTTCAGTAGTAAAATTTAAATTTATACTTACAGTTTTCCTTAGTAATCTCATTAACAGAAACTTCGCTTGTGATTTGATCTGTACAAACCACATTAAGACCTTATATTTTAAAATAACAGGTTTTTAAGAATATAAAAAGCTCAATACATACTGCATAGTTATTATCATGCTTAATCAAAAATAGAATCAACACCCCAAGCATCATTTTTTTTGTATCAGCATAGTATAATCCTACAGAAAGACTTTGATACAAATATCGTAAATAATCAAAGCTTTTATAAAAACCTGAACAATTATGAAGTCTTTGAGTATTATTCATGCTTGATGTCGAAATCTGAATGATATATTTTTGAAATTTAAAAATAGAGGCTCTAGACTTTGATATTAGTTACGATTACGAATGGTTATATTCTGGGTAATTTGGCATAAATGAAAATTTATACATAGTGAAGGTGTAACTGATATATTAGCTGCTTACGCAACTGATACATCAGTTATAACTTTTACTATAAATTTTCACTTATAACAAATTACCCAGGAAATTCTTGATTCATTTCCCTGCTATCCACATAATTTTTATGCACTGTGTTTATTTATCTTTAAAGATCAAGTATGAATAATGTAGTACCAAATCATCTAAATTGAATGTTGATAAGGTATAGTAGAAATAAGTACATAAAAAAGTTGGCTAACTAGCAGATAATGTGTAAACTAACAGATAGTTGTACTCAAACTAAATCAATATAATTATATCGTTCAACAAAAACTTTTGTCTAAAATATTAAGGCTATACAAATTTAATATCTTGGTTTTCATAACATGAACTTTAAACAGACCCAGCTAGCCAGCCAGCTTAAAAACTTACCGGGTTATTAAAATATAGTTTTCAAATTTTGACCAGCCAGGTTATAAATAACCAATTAATTAATTTTGCATGGCCTAATAATAAAACAGTTTCCAAGTTAAAAAATTTGTAGACAACAGAATATTACGATTGCCCCTATAAAAAATATATATTCACTATAGTGCTAATAGTTTTACAATATATTTTAAGAATTTTAATACACTTACCCAAGAAGAAGACTATGTAAAACCTGTTCATAACGATGATATAGCAGAAAAAGCAAAAATAAAATCTGAAACTTTTTTAATTCTGTAAAATAACTTCTATAGTACAATCGGCTATTTCATTAATTCTGATTGGTCAATCACTAAGTGTATCATCTGACTTTAGAATGAAACTTGGAGCAACCCAGATTTTGCTTCAGGTTACTCCATATAGAGCAACCCGGGTTTTGCTCTAGGTCACTCATATAGAGCAACCCAGGTTTTTGCTTCAGGTCACTCCATATAGAGCAACCCGGGTTTTGCTCCAGGTCATTCTATATGGAGCAACCCGGGTTTTGCTTCAGATTACTCCATGTGAAGCAACCCGGGTTTTGCTCCAGGTCACTCTATATGGAGCAACCCGGGTTTTGCTCCAGGTCACTCCATATGGAGCAACTCAGGCTTTGCTCCAGGTTACTCCATATGGAGCAACCTGGGTCACTCTATATGGAGCAACCCGGGTTATAAGAAATAATTTTGCTCCGGGTTATTATATAATTCTACCCACTCCAACCTTAAACTGAAGTATAACCCAGGTTGCTCCGGAGTATGTTGCTCTATTAACAACCCTAATTATAGGTTTTATACTATATATTGTATTTATACATACTGATAAAATTATTTTAGGTTTTAGAGTACGAAATTAAAATTTGAAGACGAAATTGTTTTTAATCTATTTTACTTAAAAAACGAAAATTTTGATACTTTTTTGAAAAGACGAAATTATAAGAAATATAACTACCTAAATTAGATTTGCTCTTGCATATAAAAAATTTTAAAATGCTCTAATGGAGATGAAATAAGAGTTTTTTGAAAACCTATTTCAGTAGTATGTATAGCCATATCTGTAATCCAATTATGGGTATTACTTATTTAAATACTTTGTAATACAACTTTACTTGTATCATTAGATAAATGCAAAGCATTGTTTGTCTGGAAGTTATTTAATTAGTAATTTATCACTTAACTAGAGAGAGTCATAGTGTAACGTGATGCAGTTTATATATAGAAATTAAAGTTTTTAGAATATAAGCTGCTTCTATCTAAAACTTTTTTTATACTAAGTTAATTATTTTTGGGCCTCTAATTAAAGTTGTAGAGCTTAGCAAGATGAATCTAATGATAGTTGAATCATTAAAATCAGCTTTGTAGATCATGAGATATCTTCAAAACATTTCGCTAACTATGTAAACTTCTCTTTCAACTATTGTTGAAAGAGAAGTTTATATAGTTGGTGAAATGTTTTTGAAGATATCTCATGATTTACAAAGCTGATTTTAATGATTTAACTATCATTAGATTCGTCTTGCTAAGCTTTACAATTTTAATTAGAGGCCAAAAGATGATTAACTTAGTACAGTCAGAGAATATACCAAATATGGATAGCATCGATCACACCTTTTATAGTATGCAAGTGCTGATCAAATGATTCTAGATATTTCTGTATGTAAATCATATAAAAATCAGCCAATCAAATCATAGATTTGAAAATAAAAAATTTAAACAATAATATAAAACGTATATCATGAATCTTTATTAATAGAAGATTGCTCAAATTTCACCAAATTTTAAATCCATATAGAAATTTGTACTATAAATAATTTATTTATTTTTTTTTGTAATCAAGGTTAGCCTCTTTGGCTTGTCACTTTTATTAGATTATAGAATCATGTGGTGCCCTTTCAAAGGGGCCCCATACAAGTACATTCTGACGAGGATACATTCTAGCCATATCTACACCTTTTGAGCGCCTAATTAAGTAGTTATACTAAGTACTACACTAGATGCTGTACCTATAACCCACTATTATTTGGATTATTCAATTAAACCCTCTGATCTGAGTTTCCTATATCAATTCATCTAATCTCACCTAGAATATGCAATACATTAGTCAGTCCAAGTTCCAAGATCGTCGCAGACTACCTATAGGACTACCAGCTTTTTAACCGATTCATCCTCGAGTGCATCACCTGCTAGAGAGTCCGGTACCCACTATTACCGTATTACTTAGTCTACTTCGGTAACTTACACCTAGGCCGAGACCAAGTATTTGCGAGCCGAAGCCGCTACCGTTACCTACTCTGCCCTTGTAGAGTTCACCCAAACCCCGGTTCCTCCCCTTCAAGTCAACCTGGTATCTTCCCTTTCAGTACCTCCTAGCCGGTCTCTCTAGACTACCAATCTAGATGGCCCAAATAAGACACCTGTCCCTTGGTATCTGCACTGCAGATCCTTTTCCTCTGACGATTCTGGCGGCCTAGTTGGTGGAGTACCTTCCCTCTGAATACCCGGTCCTCATCCAGTCTATCCAGTAGCCACCATCAAAGGTTTGTGCTACCTCTCTACTCAGGTCTTGCCAAGCGGGCATCCATCTTTCTAGTTCCCTGGGTTTATACGAACACAAGGTCTTATCTTGAGTTTGCACTGACTAATACCGGTTTGCATACCTTTGTATAACTTATACATTATGCGAATGCCCCATGATCTCCCAATCTTGTTGGTGCCACCAAGATTACAGAGATTCCATTCCAACCGATCGTCAAAAGACAGTAGCCATTGTACAAACAGAATATTCGAAATTTCGCCGTCGGTGGGTTTCGAACTCCCATCTGCCAATATGCCGCTTGGGGGTGCGACAACTTAATCACTTCACTAAGTCGCCACACTCCTTAAATAAGTTATTCAATGTTATTGAATACTATATTTACTATTTAATTTTTTTTATTCACATTAATTTAGATGTATATACAATTTTTCAATAAGCTATTTAATTTTATAAATAACTTAATCTTGAATTTTATTTTGTCTATATCAATTTGGATAAATATAAAAAACATCTATTATATATTTAAAATAGATTTTAATGTTTATGAATATTTTCTATTTAATTTTTGTATTATTTAAATAAATATAAATAAAATTTATTAAATTATTCAAATTTAAATATATATACAATTTAACTTTTTATTCATATTAATTTAGGAATATATAAATAAAGCAAATAACAAATAAATAAATAAATTCTTGACAGTACTTCAATATGCTAATAATAAAATTTTTTATAAATTTTTATAATAAGAAAATTTTTTGAAATCTATCTGGCAAGCTAAATTAAGACTACTAACAGATATTTTATAAAATTTAGATAGAATTTATAATTCATGATGCATAGTGTTACAGAGTAACTTTATAATGTTATACTAATAGTTTTGTAGAACAATACTTTATAATTTATAGTTTATATTTTAGATATAATTCTTGTTAAATTTGTATTGTATTAGAAATTATATTATATTTAGAATAGTTAGAATATTAGAGTATATGCCAGTATATACTGTATACTAGTGTATTCCATATGTTAGTATATGCTGTATACTAATGTATACTGTATATCACTGTATGCCGTATACCACTATATGCCGTATGCTACTGTATGCTGTATACCAGTATATGCCACTTGTTATATAGTTGTACTGTATGCCAGTGTATGCTATCTGCCATA